AATTGTTCTAGGTTCTAGAGCCCAGGGAGGTGTACAAGGCCATTTCATTAAGAATATTAGAGACGAGTGCTTCTCAAACTATAGTAAAGGACCAATTTTTAAAACAATTTCCAGGGACTTCCCTGGTGGCACAGTGGTTAGGAATCCTCCTGCCAGTGCAGAGGACATGGGTTCGATCCCTGGTCCGGGAAGATCCCACATGCTGTGGAGCAACTAAGCTCGTGTGCCACAACTACTGAGCCTGCACTCTAGAGCCCGCGAGCCACAACTACTGAGCCGGAGTGCCACAACTACTGAAGCCCGTGCTCTCAGCAAGAGAAGCCACCCAATGAGAAGCCCAGGAACCGCAACGAAGAGTAGCCCCCGCTCTCAGCAACTAGAGAAAAGCCCGCGCGCAGCAACAAAGACCCAAGGCAGCCAAAAATTTAAAAAAATAATAAATAAATAAAAATTTATTTAAAAAAACCCCAACAATTTCCAATCACGGTAGAGTCCACTACTCTATAAAATACACTAAAAGTGAATTATTAGAAAAAAATGAAATAAAATCCCATTTTTATTAAATTCAATAAATATAAAATTTCTCTGTCAAATTCCTATCAAAGTTTCTAAATGCCTACACTTAATTTCTGAAATTGTTTCATTGCAGATTGGTCACAAACTTTGAGTAGCACTGTTGCAGTTAAAATTTGTTTATGTTTTAGGTCATATAAGGGCAGTGGACTTCATCACAGGAGATACCATGGAAAAATAAAGACTTGGTAACATGGGAGTGACATGGTCAGATATGCATTTAGGAGTAGTGTAGAGGAAGGGTTTTATGGCTGCAAAAACAGCAAGGAGGCCAGCTTGAAGGAAACTAAAGTGGTCCAAGAGAGCAATGGCAAGGTGCTAGACTAAATCACTGGCGTGGGATGGAGAGGAAAGGACAGATTCAAAGGATAGTCAGCAGGTAAAATCAATAGGACTTGATGATTGGCTAAAGGGTTGGGGGAAGAGAAGAGTTTAGGGTGATTCTTGGGCTTCTAGCTTGGGTTATTGAGTGAATGGAATGGAGCATCTTCAAATATTTACCATCTGCAGTTTTTTTCCTAAATTGAGAAAGTTATGAAAACCAAAATTTTTCATTTCTCATTTGACCACAGAACCTAATCTGACCTGAACTTATTTTGTAGCAGACCACCTAAACTTACATGAGGTTATTTATAGTTTCATTTATCCCACTTTCATTTATACCAATGTGGATCTTCATATCTCTTATTGCAGAAATATTAATTTGTTTATGAGGTGCTGTCCCCGACCCCATTAGGATTGCTGCCTTATATATTGTATATGTATCATATTACATTTCTAAAATCCAAAATTCTGAAACACATTTACTATCCAGATTTTCCACCCCATTTACTCATCAGTCTTGGCCTGAGTTCTTTTGGCTATTTGCATAAATCAGATCCACCTGCAGGTAATGAATAATCATTGCATTGTGTGCTATGGAGTCTGAAGATGATTCTCAAAGTGTTTTGAGCAGTGTCATTATTAAAACAAGGCTAAAAGCTTCTTGAGTGTCTACCTGGAAGTGACAGAACTCATTTGGATGATAAGGTGTGATGTGTTTATGGACAACCAGTCTCTTTATTGTACACTTTGTTTACACATTTGAACAGTCAGTGGCAGTCCAGTGGTTAGGACTCAGTGCTTTCACTGCCAGATCCCAGGTTCAGTCCCGGTGGGGGAACTAAGATCCCGCAAGCCACGCAGCACAGCCAAAACCAAAACCAAAACAAACCAAAACAAAAAACAGTGGTCAGTGATCCTCTGGAATTAGTTCCCCTGTTCTCTGGACTTTGTTCAAAACCAAAGAGCAAGCTCTGAATGCTGAGAATTTGGGGCCTGGTGGAAAATGAAGTGTGTGTATGGGTGTGGCTGTGGCTGTGGCTGTGGGTGGGTGTGTGGGTGTATAAATTATTTTTTAAAACAGTTTTAGACTTGCAGAAAAATTGAGAAGATAGTACAGAGAGTTCCCATGTACCCCACATCCAGTTTCCACTATTATTATCATATATTAGTAGGGTGCATTTGCTACCTTAATGAACCAGTGTTGATACATTGTTATTATTATTATTATTAATTTATTTTGCGTTATGCAGGCCTCTCACTGTTGTGGCCTCTCCCGTTGCAGAGCACAGGCTCCGGACGCGCAGGCTCAGCGGCCATGGCTCATGGGCCTAGTTGCTCCGCGGCATGTGGGATTTTCCTGCACTAGGGCACGAACCCGTGTCCCCTGCATCGCAGACGGACTCTCAACCACTGCACCACCGGGGAAGCACCACCATTATTATCATTTTTAATTATTTATTTTATTTATTTACTTTTGGCTGCGTTGGGTCTTTGTTGCTGCGTTCAGGCTTTCTCTAGTTGCAGCAAGCGGGGGCTACTCTTTGTTGCGGTGCGCAGGCTTCTCATTGCGGTGGCTTCTCTTGTGGAGCACGGGCTCTAGGCGTGCGGGCTTCAGTAGTTGTGGCACATAGGCTCAGTAGTTGTGGCTCACGGGCTCTAGAGCGCAGGCTCAGTAGTCTTGGCACACGGGCTTAGTTGCTCTGTGGCCTGTAGGACCTTCCCGGAGCAAGGCTCGAACCCGTGTCCTCTGCACTGGCAGGCGGATTCTTAACCACTGTGCCACCAGGGAAGTTCCTGATACATTATTATTAACTAAAAGTCTATAGTTTACTAAGATTTCCGTAGTTTTTACTTAATTTTTTTCTGTTCCAGGATCCCATACATGATACCGTATTACATTTGGTTTCCATGTCTCCTTAGGCTCCTCTTGGCTGTTAGTGTCTCAGATTTTCCTTGTTTACGATGACCATGAGGCGTACTGGTCAGGTATTTTGTAGGTTGCCTCTCTGTTTTTTTGGGCCGTGCCTCACACAGCTTGCGGGATCTTAGTTCCCCACCCAGGGATTGAACTCCTGTCCTCAGCAGTGGAAGCGCCGAATCCTAACCACTGGACCGCCAGGGAATTCCCTAGGTTGCCTCTTTATTTGAATTTTTTTAATGTTTATCTCATACTTAGATTAGTTTTAGGGATTATGGGGAGGAAAACCACAGAAATACAATTTTCTTCATACAATATCAAGGGTACATAGTAGCAACGAGCTTAATTTTTGTTGATAACTGACCTCTTTAGGTCAGCTAGGGGAGTGTGTGGTGTATGTATATGAGAGACATAGGATGACCACTGCAGCCAGGGGTGGCCTTGACTTTTCTGAGGATGAAATTTCTTCTCTTGCCCATGGCTCAGCCCCATTTTGACTCTTAAAAAAATCCTTTGTTTTGAAAGCTTGAACCTTCCCCAGCGGTAACCTCCTTCCATGACTTCCTCCTTAACTCACTAGCCTCCATTATCTCTAGTATTCCTATCCACCACTATCAGATCCTCTAAAAAATAAGATGCTTCAATTTCGACTAACATTTACTGAACACCTGTTATGTGCTAGGCATTCTGCTAGGCCCTCACTGTGTAAGTCATTTAATGGGAAGTGCCTGATGCATAGAAAGAACCCAGGCTTTGGGGTAAGACTTGGGTTGGAACCACAGCCCAGCCCAACGAACTATGCAATCTTAGGCAGGTTCCTTTGCCTGTCTTAGCCTTGGCTTCTTCATAAATGAAGCTATTTATCTCACAGGATGTTGTGAGGAATAAAAAAGTTTCTCTTGGTATTCACATGTATTTTGCTTCCAACAAAAACTACCCTATGACTACATTTTAAAATTTATTTATTTTGGCTGTGTTGGGTCTTCGTTGCTGCGCGGGCTTTCTCTAATTGTGGCAAGCGGGGGCTACTCTTTTTTTTTTTTTAAGAAACTGCTTTTTATTTATTTATTTATTTTTGGCTGTGTTGGGTCTTCGTTTCTGTGCAAGGGCTTTCTCTAGTTGCGGCAAGTGGGGGCCACTCTTCATCGCGGTACGAGGGCCTTTCACTGTCGCGGCCTCTCTTGTTGCGGGGCACAGGCTCCAGACGTGCAGGCTCAGTAGTTGTGGCTCACGGGCCTAGTTGCTCCGCGGCATGTGGGATCTTCCCAGAGCAGGGCTCGAACCTGTGTCCCCTGCATTGGCAGGCAGATTCTCAACCACTGCGCCACCAGGGAAGCCCACGGGGGCTACTCTTCATTGAAGTGCGCGGGCTTCTCATTACGGTGGCTTCTCTTAGCTGCAGAGCACGGGCTCTAGGCACGTGGGCTTCAGTAGTTGCAGCATGTGGGTTCAGTAGTTGTGGCTCACAGGCTCTAGAGCACAGGCTCAGTAGTTGTGGCGCACGGGCTTAGTTGCTCCACGGCATATGGGATCTTCCCGGACCAGGGATCGAACCTGTGTTCCCTGAACCGGCAGGCGGATTCTCAACCACTGTGCCACCAGGGAAGCCCCGTATGACCACATTTTTAAACGTTAATGTTTATTCCTTATAAAACTGTCAACACAACTTTTTGTCACTTCCCTTCTAAATCATTTAGGATTTTGGAGGGCACAATGTCTTAAGTTTCCCACAGTGACAAGATCGTGGTGAAAAGGAAAGAAAGGAAACAGAGGGAACCTGAGCCAATTTCGATGGAAATATCAAGTTTGGTAAAAAAAGAGTTACAGTGAGAGGCCCGCGTACCGAAAAAAAGGGCTCGCCCATTTTGATTTTCTATTCGTTAAGCTTACCATCAATCGCGCCAGTTGTAAATAAACTGGAGACGGAAACATGTTGTTAAGGGGTGGGATCTTCCTGTCGCCATTGCTAATATGAGAACCAGTTTTCTAATAGGCTGAAGGCTGCTTCTTTCCGCCCTCGCGCATCAGTTGCTAAGAGGCGGGACTATAGGGTCCATAAAGGACTGAATGCTCGAAGCCCCGCCCGTCCGATTGGTTGGTAGGGGGCGGGTCTTGTAACGGATAGGCTGCTGGCCCTGCCAGTTCCGGGTTAGTTGCTTGTGAGAGGGACGTGAGGAGGAGGTGGCGTGAGGAGACCATGGCGGGAGGAATGAAAGTGGCGGTGTTATCTGCAGTTGGTGCCGGGCCCTGGAGCTGGGGGGCCGGGGGCGGTGGTGCAGTGCGACTGCTCCTGGTCCTCTCCGGCTGCTTGGTCTGTGGCTCAGGTACCGCCCGGCAGCAGCAGCCGAGGGAGCGGGTACCGAGGGGTTATATTTAGAAAAGTGGGGAGCGTCCCCAGAGCGTGGGCCGTTATTCTGATGGGCGTGGGCGTGGTGCGAAGGAAGAAGCTTCATCCTTGGCGAATGGGCGCCGGCACTGAGGGACCAGGGCCCTGGGGTGGCCTGCGGGAGCTACCCAGAGTGGGGAGGAGCTTGAAGCCCTTTTGGCGGAGACGGGGAGGCCTGCACTGGGTGAGAAGCGGTCCTGGGGGCTGCGTCCTGCTGCATGGGCCTCCTCGATTTTTTTTTTTTTTTTTTGTTATTCAAAGGAAGGTGACCCGAGGACCGAATGGACAGGCAGAGCTGCCACTGGGAAGGGAGCATACCGTTTATTCAGAAAATTAGCAACACCTGAGCGTATGCTGTCAGGGCTCGGCATGGGTGGCTGAACAGATAATTATAGTTCACTGAAATGCAGTGATCTCTTTCAGTATCTTACGCCCTTGTAAGATCCTGGCTCCAGCCGGCCCTATAGAACCGACCTGGAGCCGTTAAATTCCCGTTTCCAAAAACGCTAGTCAGCATCGAGTAGTTTTCTTTTGGAAATTTATTCATTCCTCAAGCAGACTTTCTTGATGCCTGCTACTGCATAATTGGCTCTGGACTGGGATGAAATTGTTTTCCTTTAACGCTCTAATTCAGAAGACCTACAGTGTGTTTGTAAAAAACCTCCTTCTACCCTTGTTAAATGCACAACAGAAAGATAAGCGATGTTTCCAAGCTTCCACTGGAGGGAGTAGAGACTCATGGGGCTAAGGAGAATCGTATCTTGTAAACACATATGCTCTCTCACCTTTCCGTCGTTTGCTGCCTGTCTCTTGCTGTCACTTATGATTATCCTTAGCTGCAGCTTTAAGGTTATCTCAGGATCCATAGAACTAGTTTCAAACTGCAGCGTCCTTCTGAAACGGTTTTTATAGGGAGAGGGGAGTAGGTAACCAAGAAGGTACTTTTCCAGGAGCAGGGCCCAGAGTAACATTTGAAGGGCTACATGTGATCTGAATGAACTTTGACCAGATGTTTAACCTTAGAGGCTGTGTATTGTGGAAATGAAAGAGAATATTTATATCAAAATGCTCCCACGTAGTCCGTGCTCAATCAGCAGGCTCAAAGTTTCTTTAATAAGGAGAGGAATGGGGACTTTTTGGCTTGGAGAAGGATAAACTTGGGATACGTGTTCTTTGTGGCCTAATAGATCATGTAGGTGGCAGCTACAAGGAGACAATCGTAATAGAGTAGAACTTTCTAAAAGTGGGAGCTACCTAAAGAGAGAATGGAGTACTTCAAAAGGCAGGGAGTTCTTTTAGACCATTTGGCAAGTACAATTAAGTATAAGGAAGTAGAAAATTCACTCACTGTTCATGCCATTCAGAGGCAGTCCGTTAAAGCACACTTTCTTCTGGTCTGTTTCCACGTGTTTTTAATTAAAATATATATTTTTGAATTGATAATATATTCATAAACCTGTCAGCACTTTAGTTCTCTTCCCTGGAGGCCACCAGTTGCTGCCAGAGATAGTTTTCTCATTTGGTTTTGTAGCATAAACCTTCTCCTATGTCATTTAAAATTCTTCATAAATGTTGTTTTTAGTTTCATCCTGTGGACAGATTTTTTTTTTTTAGGATGGATTCTCAGAAATGGATTTATTCAGTCAAAAGTGAAAATATATTTAAGACCCTTGAAACATCTTGCTAAAATATTTTTCTGAAAAGGTGTGCCGGTTTATACGATTATCAGCTATATTTGCTTGTGACCCATACCCTTGCCAGCATTGGATATTCCAGACAGAAACACCTTTGCTAATTTGATAGATTGAAAGTGGCATCTTAATTTACTTTGCATTTCTTGCGTTATTTGTGAAGAAGCATCTTTCAAATATTAATTAGTTATTTAATTTTCTGTTTAGAGTTTACATTTTTTGGAGAGTGTGTCCTTTGCTCTTGGCCTATTTATTGTGATTACTGTTTATTGGGATGTTTGTGTACTTTTAAAATCAGCTGATGAACTTTTTAATATATTAAGGATGTATATTTTTATAATCTATTTGTTTATTATTTATTACAGAACTTTAATTTGTTTGCCCCCTTTATCTTTTTAAATAGAAGATTTATATTTTTTATGTGATCACTTGATTTTATTCTTTAGATTTATTTCCATTGCTTTTGTACTTGAAGAGTCCTCCAAAATTAAATTTTTATATATATTTTGTGGTACAATTTAATTATTTTTCATTTTACTTTTTAATCAGCGGTTAATGTTAGTATTTGGTGTGAGGTGAGTATCTAGATAGATTTTATTTTCCAAATAACCAGACAGTTGTACCAGCATCGCATTGAATAATCCTTTGCTAAGCCCACTAATTTAAGATGCTAGTTTTTTGTTTGTTTGTTTGTTTTTGCGGTACACGGGCCTCTCACTGTTGTGGCCTCTCCCGTTGCGGAGCACAGGCTCCGGATGCGCAGGCTCAGCGGCCATGGCTCACGGGCCCAGCCGCTCCGCGACATGTGGGATCTTCCCAGACCGGGGCACGAACCCGTGTCCCCTGCATCGGCAGACGGACTCTCAACCACTGCGCCACCAGGGAAGCCCAAGATACTAGTTTTTAAGAAGCATTTTCAGATGCTTTTAAGTATGAACTGGATTACCTCTTGACAGAAATGAATAGAAGCTATTTAAGAATTAGAAGAGGTGGTTTTTCGTAAATTTTTAGGGTCTTTTCTGGTCCTCACATACTATGAATCATTTTCATTACCTTCTACCAGTAGATGTTAAATGATCAGTGTTGTTGATTGATGAATATAAGTAAATATGAAGTTACTAACTTTTAAGTAGCTGGTTTATGGGCAAATACAATAAGCAAGTTGTGATTCACTAAATTCCAAGGAGGCATTTTCCAAGAAGAACTAGATCTTTGGGCTCAGAAGGCATTTTTTAAATGTTTAATTCATTCTGCTTTTTAACATGCTGGCTAACTCACTTTGGGGAGGGGAAGGAAAGTGTTGTGTCTGCCCTTTTGCTATGGGAAGCACAAGATTGTAACATGAGCATTTTGACAGCTTGTATATATTGAAGGTAATTGGTTTAGTTCTATGTTTTTCTAATAATTTAAGCTATAGCTGGAGTGGTGATTGTTTCCACAGATTATCCCCTTAGGCTGATTTGGTGTATTTTCCCTCTCAATGAATTTCCAAAGATATGACTGGCCAAGGTGCTGATTTCTGTAGGAGGTTACTGTTAGAGAGGTTTGTTTGTTTATTTACAGTGCTTTCCTTTGAATGGTGTGGAACTTGGGTAAAGGAAGAACTAGGTTTAAGAAAATGTTGCTTGTTAAATTATTTATTTATTTGTCCATGGGATCTTAGTTCCCTGACCAGGGATAGAACCTGTGCCCCCTACAGTGGAAGCACGGGAGTCCTAACCACTGGACCGCCAGGGAATTACCCCCAAAATGTTGCTTTTTATAAAAGTTTTATTTCTTTAGGAAAATGACATTGAAGAATTTTAAAATTGGTTTAAAAATACTGATGTCTTTTCTTGGCATTAACTTTTTCAAATCTCCTGTGCTATTGACATATTATTTGTATCTTACTACCTTCTTGAAAATAATAATGGGCTTAAAGAGATGTGTTATATTACTTGGTGCTGTGGGAGAGAAGGAGTTAATAAAGTGTGACTCTTGGGTTTTTTTAAATTTATTTGTAAATACACTAGTTTTAAGCTTCACATAATCTTACTCTCTTACAGTCTCCAGAAGAAAATAAACTCTTGATCCACATTTGTGAGTGGGTGTTCTTTCAGTATATTTGGGCTTGCTAGTGAAACAAATGTCAATAGGATTTTGAAAGGGTTTCATTTTATGAAAAATAGGCTTGGAGGAAATCCAAATTACTATTGAATTAAACCCTAGTGAGAGATTGATAGATGAGGTTCAGGACATACTACAAAATATGGCACCTTGGCATATTGAATATTTTAAGCTGAGGGAGTTTGAGAAAACAGCAAAGCTGAAAAGTCACTCTGACCTCCCGCACTTTGCCCTCCTTCCTTGAAATAGGCCATAAAATCCTCATGTGAGAGGTGTCCTCCCTATACCTGGAGGAAAGGAGCATCCTTATCTTTGAAGACAAAGGGGCATGAAGAAGAATACTAATGAACAGGCCTTGCTCAGTTTCCCCCAGTTTACTACACTTACCTCATACTCAACCTATCGTTCCTCTGCGAATGTCCACTTTTCGTCAAACCTAGCGTAAAAGTACGTGGGTCTCTTTCTTTGGGTCTTTATTTCGTTAGAGGTTTTCATGTCACATGAAAGATATGAAATAAATTTGTATGCTTTTCTCCTATTAATATGTCTTTGTCAGTTTAATTTTTGGACCCAGCCAGGGACCCAAGACGGTCAAGGAAAACTTTTCCTCCCTTACAATATCAAGACTGAATTTTAAAATATTGAGATATAATTCACATACCATAAAATCCACCCTTTCATTGGTCTTCAGTATACAGTTGATCCTTGAACAACACGGATTTGAACTGCATGGGTCCACTTATACGTGGATTTTTATTTTCAATAAATACATACTATAGTACTACCTGATCTTTGGTTGGTTGAATCCACAGATGCGGAACTGTGGATCCAGAGGGCTAACTAAAGTTATACGCTGATGTTTGACTGAGCAGAGAGGTGGCATCCCTAACCATGGTTGTTCATGGGGCAGCTGTATTCACAGTATTGTGCAACCATCACCACTGACTAATGACAGATTTTTAAAATAGATTTCATTTATTTATTTTTATTTATTGGCTGCGTTGGGTCTTCCCTTGCTGTGCGCAGACTTTCTCTAGCTGCTGCGAGTGGGGGCTACTCTTTATTGCGGTGCGAGGGCTTATTGTGGAGGCTTCTCGTTGCGGAGCATGGGCTCTAGGCACGCAGGCTTCGGTAGTTGTGGCACACGGGCTTAGTTGCTCCACAGCATGTGGGATCTTCCAGGACCAGGGCTCGAACCTGTGTCCCCTGCATTGGCAGGCAGATTCTTAACTACTGCAGCACCAGGGATCCCCAGAATATTTTTATTACTCCAAAATGAGGCCCCATACCCCTTAAAGGTCTCTCCCCATTCCCTTCTCCTCCTAGCCCCTGACAACCACTAATCTACTTTTTGCGGATTTGCTTATTCTGGATATTTATATAAATGGAATCATTTAATATGTGGACTTTTTCTTGACTGGCTTTCATTCAACATAAAGTTTTTAAGGTTCATGTTGTAGTATGTATCAGTACTTTTTATGGCTGAATAATATTCCATTGTATCAATAATACCACATTTTGCTTATCCGTTGATCAGCTGATGGACATTTGGGGTGTTTCCACCTTTTGGTTTTTATGGATATTGCTGCAGTGAACATTTGTGTACAGGTTTCGGTGTGAACATGTTTTCACTTCTCTTGGGTGTATACATAGGAGTGGAATTGCTGTGTCATGTAATAATTGTGTTTTAGTTTTTGGGGAACTGCCAAGCTGTTTTCCAGAGAGACGGTACCATTTTACATTCCCACCAGCAACGTATGAGGGTTCCAGTTTCTGCACATCCTTGCCAACACGTGGTTATTGTCCTCTTTTTGATTATAGCCATCCTAATGAATGTGAAGTGGTATTTCATTGTGGTTTTGACTTGCATTTCCATAATGGCTAATTATGTTGACTCTCTTTTCATTGTGCTTATTGGCCATTTGTATATCTTCTTTGGAGAAATGTCTATTCAAATCCTTTATGCATTCTAAAAATTGGGTTATTTCTCTTTTTATTGTTGAATTGTAGTAGTTCTTTATATATTCTGTATATTAGACCCTTATCAGATATATGATTTGCAAGTATTTCCTCCCACTTTGTGGGTCATCTTTTCACTTTCTTGATAGTGGCCATTGAAACACAAAAGTTTAAAATTTTTGAAACCATTGTCAAATCCAAGGTCACAAAGGTTTACATACCTTTTTTCTTCTTCTAAGAGTTTTTTAGTTTTTGTTCTTAACAATTAGGTTTTTTGTTTTGTTTTGTTTTGTTTGCTGTACGCAGGCCTCTCACTGTTGTGGCCTCTCCCGTTGCGGAGCACAAGCTCCGGGCCTCAGGCTCAGCGGCCATGGCTCATGGGCCCAGCTGCTCCACGGCATGTGGGATCTTCCTGGACCGGGGCACGAACCCATGTCCCCTGCATCGGCAGGCGGACTCTCAACCACTGCACCACCAGGGAAGCCCAACATATAGGTTTAAGACCGAATTTAACTTCAAAAGTAGTCTGAGCTTCACTCTAAAACCATTTTTTTTTTTTTTTGGAATTTTGCCTTTTTTTTTTTAAATTTAATTAATTAATTTATTTATTTATGGCTGTGTTGGCTCTTCATTTCTGTGCGAGGGCTTTCTCTAGTTGCGGCAAGCGGGGGGCCATTCTTCATCGCGGTGCCCCGACCTCTCACTATCGCGGCCTCTCATTGCAGAGCACAGGCTCCAGACGCGCAGGCTCAGTAATTGTGGCTCACGGGGCTAGTTGCTCTGCGGCATGCAGGATCCTCCCAGACCAGGGCTCGAACCTGTGTCCCCTGCATTGGCAGTCAGATTCTCAACCACTGCACCACCAGGGAAGCCCTCTAAAACCATTTTGAACTGATGGGTGTCGTTGCCTTTTTTGTGTGTGTAACTTAGGCTTTCTAAGGTTTGTTTGAGGTTTTTGTGTTTTGGGGTGTTTTGTTTATTTAAATCTACCTACCTTTATACTAAGAACCAAAGAGTTAACTAAATTTCCCCTTAGAGTGGCACTAAATGTGTTGGTAAGTACAGTGTAGAGCAAGGAAGAAGATACTGAAATGTTTTGTGGTAAAGAAGGTAACTTGTGCAAACTTGGGTGGGAAGATATGATAATGGTCACTTGTAAACGTTAAATTAGCTGAGATTGAATATAAATTCCTCAGGGGAGATCTGTTTTGGTAAAATCAGAGGGACTGCCTATGTTCATTGGCTGCTCTTAAAACTTGAATGAAACAAAACAGCTGGAAAAATGCAACTTTGCAGTCTTTTAGTATCTGCTAAAAGTACTCTAAATACAAAAAATGTTGCTAATTCTGTTCATCCTATTCAGGATATGGATAGAGAAAGTCACCAGATGGGGTTACTTTAGCTATGTCTTTATAAGAGAAACAGGACCTGGGTGTGAATCTCAGTTAAGCTATTTACTAGCTGTGTGACTTTGGACAAATTACTTAATCTTTCCTAAACATCATTTTCCTCATTTGTAAAATGGGGTTTATGAGAGTGCCAACCTCACAGCATTGTTGGGAGGGTTAAATGAGACAGACAACATACTGTCTGTCTTAATAAACACATAATAGTGGCTTTTATTATTACTTATCCTGGATTAGTGACTATTTGTAACATTTAAATAATTACATTTGGCAGAAATAAGATTGCCTTATTTCTTCTCTCATCTCAGTTTTCTTCTTTGTGTCTTAGTCGCTGGTATTTTTAACCCCAGCTTTAAGAAAGTGGTCAGTTTAATTCTTTTTATGAAATGAGTCATAGTTACTAGCTTGTTCTGTTATTATACTTAATTGTTATTTTCTTTCTTTGCATAAAGCCGGAATTGATTTAAACGTGGTCATGCTTCAGGAATCCAAAGTTTATTATATGAATACCAGTCAACAATCCTGTTATAAAAATGTGCTTATCCCAAAGTGGCATGATATATGGACACAGATACAGGTAATGATTTGGAGGCTTCTGGCAGGGGCAGTTTCTGTGAATATCTGTCTGTCTGTGATTAGTGAGTACATTGACACTTTCTTCCCTTCTCACATGCAGTTAAAAAAAAAAAAAAAAAAATATATATATATATATATATATGTGTGTGTATGTGTGTGTGTATGTATAAAATTAACAATCTTGATAAGATTATGATTATTTTTAATCTCATCAGTATTTTCATCAGTAAAGCATTTATGCCTATTTTGTGTTCCTCTCTCTGTTTCTTTAAGTGGCCTGAGATAAACTTCCTTCCTCCTTTTCCCCAAGAGACTACTTCCTTCTCTTCCCCTCACTCCTTTTACACTCATACACACACACACACACAAAGACCTCTCTTTCTTTTTAAAGGTCTTAGGCCTTCTTTGGGCTGGAAACTGTTGCGTGCCTATCAGGATGTAAACTCTCACCTTGCTGCTCCTATTCTATTTTGATTCTGCGCAAGGTGTTGCATAAATGCCCTGAGCTGAAGTTTCCCCTTGATAGAATGACTTTGGTCTCATTTATTTCATAACATTGTTGAGCCAGAGTGCCTGGCTGTAATGATTGAACAAAATGAGTCCTTGGAAATGTTTCTGCTGCTATAAGCATAGTTACTGATTAGGGATTTGTTCACATCAAAAACATAAGGTGGGCTCGTGGTTTTTTTTAAAAAATTCTCTTTTTTCATTGTCTGATATAAAGATCATATTCCATCTGGAGCACATTATAACCAGCGTTTACCCATAATCAGTGATTTGTGACAAAGCGTTGAACTTTTCAGCTTGTCATTATGGGAAACATTTTTGGTGCTGTTTATGCCTGGCAGTTTTCTTAATATTCTAGACCCTTGCTTTGCATGATCTCTCATAAATAGCTGTATTGGTAACTCTTTCAGCTTGGAAGTCTTTTTTTCCCCATATGTTCTGGCCTAATACTAGATTCAGATCATGTTAACAATAAAACATTCTAACAGCTGCCTCTCTGTACCATGTACAGTTTTATTTGCCCAGTTATCTTTTAGCTGCTGTATCTCTGTATTTCTCATAAGCCTGTGGAAAGCTGGTGCCATTATTGATTTAGTTATTTACTCTAAAGGTTTGTTGTTTTTTTTAAAATTATATTTGTGAAATTTTTAAATGCCTACTTTCTTCTTTCTCATCCTGATTTTACTTGTGTTACAGATTCGGGTAAATAGTTCCAAACTGGTCCGAGTCACCCAGGTGGAGAATGAGGAGAAACTGAAGGAGCTAGAGCAGTTTAGTATCTGGAACTTTTTTTCCTCCTTTTTAAAAGAGAAATTGAATGACACCTATGTTAACGTGGGTCTATACAGCACAAAAACCTGCCTCAAAGTTGAGATTATAGAGGAAGACACCAAGTACAGTGTCACTGTGACCCGGAGTAAGTCTTACCTCTGTTTTTCTGATGGATTCTATGGTGAGAAGGGACTGAGCTTTCGAGGGTGTAATTAGTGAGAAAAGTCAGCCCAAGACAGCTCCATTTTGGTTCTGATTATAACCTGAATATACCACTGCTCCAAACAGTTCAGAGAGCCTCCACCCCTCATAAAAACCCTTTAGGCCTAGATTTGAGACTTTACCATAAGTCACTCTGAGTACTTCCTTACCTGGAATTGTGAAGACTTGTATTTCTAATACTTCCAATGGCTCTAAGCTGATATGCCTAGTATTCTTCAGAGTAAGATAGATGTATTCCTGTCTTCTGGGCACTTATAGACAAAGATAGATGTCTTGAAATGTACAGGTCTACATTTGAAGACATGAATGGTTAACAATAAAAACTGAGGAAGGGTAGAACTGAATACCTCACAAACAAAAGAATATATGTGGAACCATAAATAGATATGAAGATCACTGCAGTTTCAGGCTTATTCAGTCTAATTGGGAGTTTTCCCTTCTCTGAATGTGTCTGAGAAAGTTTCACAGAAGAGGTGGATCATTATCCTGTTGGATTCTCTGTGACTTTTTGGTCTCTCCTTGGTAACTACTGTCTTAGGAGAGTAATGTTGTAAGTAGTGGAAATGTTCCTGGGTTTTGCTACGAAATACGTTGTGCTCTTCTAACTGTCCTAGGGTTCCACAGTTCTTTGGTTGAACAGGATCAGCCTGTTTTTTGGTGTTCCTTTTGCATTTACTGATCCCTCTCACTCCTGTTCTGTTTGTGGACTTCCCCTAGACTCAGAGCTCTTGAATGTGAAAGCTGTGGGAGTGTCTGGTATGCCAGTAAGGGGTCTATGCTTGGGCCCCCTGGTCCTGGGCGAGATGTGTTTGAGTGTAGGCTTTTCCAACACAGTGCTTGTGTAGTGAAGTAGGTGGTGGTGTTGGTCAAGCAGAGACCAACAGTTAGAGAACAGCAGAGGGCCCTGACCCCAAGTTCTGGGCTAATCTGAATCCGAGCTTGTGTGACTTAAGGCCCGAAAACCAGAGTGGTGGAGACCCCTTGTGGGCGACTGCATGAAGTGCTGATGGCACTATGGCTCCATCCAAAGCAAAGCTTAGCTTCTTTTAGCCTTAGCTTAGTAGCCAAAATAAAAATAAACTCTTGAGGGAAGTACAGGTTAGACAGAGACCTAATTATACTTTCTCTTTGGAAGGGTGCCCAGGCTTTGTGTGGAATTTAAAATGCTGTTTAGGTGGGCTGTTTGCATATATTTTATTAGCTGACCAATGATGCCAACATTGTCTTTTATTCTGTAATGCCTTAAATTGTTTTGTTCCCCTATTAAGCAGAAGTCTTTTATTTATTTCAGGATTTGACCCCAAACTCTTCCTCATTTTTCTCCTTGGACTTATTCTATTTTTTTGTGGTGACTTGCTGAGCAGGTAGGTTCCAAGGCTAGAGGGCAGAATGAGGAGGCTCAGACCTACCCTGCTCGACTTTTTTTTTTAATTCATTCTTGGCTGCATTGGGTCTTCATTGCTGCGCACGGGCTTTCTCTAGTTGCAGCGAGTGGGGACTACTCTTCGTCGCAGTGCGCGGGCTTCTCACTTTGGGGGCTTCTCTTGTTGCAGAGCACGGGCTCTAGGCGTGTGGGCTTCAGTAGTTGTGGCACATGGGCTCAGTAGTCATGGCTCGCGGGCTCTAGAGCAAGGCTCAGTAGTTGTGGCACACAGGCTTAGTTGCTCTGTGGTATGTGGGATCTTCCCAGACCAGGGCTCAAACCCATGTCCCCTGCATTGGCAAGCAGATTCTTTTTTTTTTTTTTTTTTTTCCTTGCGTTATGCGGGCCTCTCACTGTTGTGGCCTTTCCCATTTGCGGAGGCCAGGCTCCCGGCGC